TTGATCCACTTCCAAATGTCATGAGGGCATTCCCTGAAAAACATGAGAGGACAACAGGCGTCAGAGAGAGAGAAAGAGAGGGGGAAAGAGAGGGAGGGAGAGCAGAGAGAGAGGGAGAGAGGGAGAACGGGGAGAGAAGGGGAGAGAGAGGGAGAGATAGAGAGGAGAGAGAGAGGAGAGAGAGAGAGAGAAGGGAGAGCAAGGAGAGAGGAGGAGAGAGAGGGAGAGAAGAGGGGGAGAGAGAGAGGAGAGAGAGAAGGAGAGAGGGAGGAGAGCAAGTGAGAGAGAGAGAGGGAGAGGGAGAGAGAAAGAGAGAGAGGAGAGAGAGAGAGAGGAGAGAGAGAGAAGGAGAGAGAGAGAGAGAGAGGAGAGGAGAGAGAAGAGGAGAGAGAGAGAGAGAGAGGAGAGAGAGAGAGAGAGGGAGAGAGAGAGGAGAGAGAGAGAGAGAGAGAGAGAGGGAGGGAGAGCAAGTGAGAGAGAGAGAGAGGAGAGTGAGAGAGGAGAAGAGAGAGAGAGAAGAGAGAGGGAAAGAGAGGGAGGGAGAGACGAGAGAGAGGGAGAGAGAGAGAGAGGAGAGAGAGGGAGAGAGGGGAGAGAGAGGGAGGAGAGGGAGGAGAGAGGGAGGAGAGGGAGAGAGAGAGGAGAGAGAGAGGAGAGAGACGACAGAGACACAGAGGAGGGAGAGAGAGAGAAAGTCAGAAGATGTTCAACATTCTCTTCAAGTATCTAACTGCAGCTGCCTCATCGACCTCATTCACTCACAGACCATTAAACAGCTCACACACACCACACACACACACCACACACACACACACACACACACACACACACACACACACACAACACACCACACAGGTCAGTGATAAATGTCTATAATCAATAACAAGGAACATGAAGTATTCACACTGTGGAGCAGGTCGTAAGAGAAACAATCATTACAAACATGTTAAAAGACACCTGTGTAGCATCGTGTTGGCTAACATTTTATCCATGCTATTGTTTCCATTAATGATCACAGGGACAGGTGTTACTCACAGGACAGGTGTTACTCACGGGACAGGTGTTACTCACCGGGGACAGGTGTTACTCACAGTGACAGGTGTTACTCACAGGGACAGGTGTTACTCACGGGACAGGTGTTACTCACAGGGACAGGTTTACTCACGAACAGGTGTTACTCACTGGGACAGGTGTTACTCAAGGGACAGGTGTTTCTCACAGGGACAGTGTTACTCACAGGACAGGTGTTACTCACGGGACAGGTGTTACTCACAGGGACAGGTGTTTCTCACAGGGACAGGTGTTACTCACAGGACAGGTGTTACTCACGGGACAGGTGTTACTCACAGGGACAGGTGTTACTCACAGGGACAGGGGTTACTCACAGGGACAGGTTTACTCACGGGACAGGTGTTACTCACAGGACAGGTGTTACTCACAGGACAGGTTGTTACTCACGGGACAGTGTTACTCACAGGGACAGATGTTACTCACAGGGACAGGTGTTACTCACGGGACAGGTGTTACTCACAGGGACAGGTGTTACTCACAGGGACAGGTGTTTCTCACAGGGACAGGTGTTACTCACAGGACAGGTGTTACTCAAAGGGACAGGTGTTACTCAAAGAACAGATGTTACTCTAAGGGACAGGTGATTCTCAAAGGGACAGGTGTTACTCAAAGGACAGGTGTTTCTCACAGGGACAGGTGTTACTACAGGACAGATGTTACTCAAGGAACAGATGTTACTCAAAGGGACAGGTGTTACTCAAAGGACAGATGTTACTCAAAGGACAGGTGTTACTCAAAGGGACAGGTGTTACTCAAAGGAACAGATGTTACTCAAGGGACAGGTGTTTCTCAAAGGACAGGTGTTACTCAAAGGGACAGGTGTTACTCAAAGGGACAGGTGTTTCTCACAGGACAGATGTACTCAAAGGGACAGGTGTTACTCAAAGGACAGATGTTACTCAAAGGGACAGGTGTTACTCAAAGGGACAGATGTTACTCAAGGACAGGTGTTCTCACTGACAGTGGTTACTCACGGACAGGTGTTACTCACAGGGACAGATGTTACTCAAAGGGACAGTGTTTCTCACAGGGACAGATGTTACTCACGGACAGTGTTACTCACGGGGACAGGTGTTACTCAGGGACAGGTGTTACTCATGGGACAGATGTTACTCACAGAGACAGATGTTACTCACAGGGACAGGTGTTACTCACAGGGACAGGTGTTACTCACAGGACAGGTGTTACTCAAGGGACAGGTGTTTCTCACAGGGACAGATTTACTCACAGGGACAGATGTTACTCACAGGACAGGTGTTACTCAAAGGGACAGGTGTTACTCATGGACAGGTTACTCATGGGACAGGTGTTACCTAAAGGGACAGGTGTTACTCACAGGGACAGGTGTTACTCAAAGGGACAGGTGTTACTCAAAGGGACAGATGTTACTCACAGGGACAGTGTTACTCACAGGGACAGGTGTTACTCAAAGGGACAGGTGTTTCTCACAGGACAGATGTTACTCACAGGGACAGATGTTACTCACAGGGACAGGTGTTACTCATGGGACAGGTGTTACTCACAGGGACAGGTGTTACTCATAGGGACAGGTGTTACTCACAGGGACAGGTGTTACTCACTGGGACAGGTGTTACTCATGGGACAGGTGTTACTCACAGGGACAGGCGTTACTCACAGGGACAGGTGTTACTCACTGGGACAGGTGTTACTCATGGGACAGGTGTTACTCACAGGGACAGGTGTTACTCACAGGGACAGGTGTTACTCACTGGGACAGGTGTTAATTATGGGACAGGTGTTACTCATGGTGACAGATGTTACTCACGGAGACAGATGTTGTTGGTAAAGTGTCCCAGGAACGTTTCACACTCGTCTTTGCGGCTCCCGCTGGAGGAGCAGGTGCACCACGGAGCCACGCTGGACGTGGAGTTGTCAACGTAGTTTGGAGTCATTGTACTTCCTGCAGAGGAACCGCAGCAGGCCTCAATCATCATTAAAGATTCATTCAGCTCGGGCAGGTTACACTGTACTGCTTCCTGAAACACTAATGGACGATGCACCGCCTGTATGCTGGGCTCATGTAAACACAGGATGATGGTGGTTAGGCCAGCATTGGGATGATAATGTTCTTGCTGGATGCTGGATTTGAAGCGCTTTAATAAATAAAAGTGTGTTTGTGCTGAGGCTTCATTAGAGGTCCTCTGTCCCCCATGGAGCTGTGATTCCTCTTTACTGACTTTAATCAAAAACTTCTGTCTCTAATGACAGATTGTTTTTCTTAATCTTGAACTTTTGTCTTGTACTTTATAGATATTATATGAAGCTCTAGCGTATGTTCAGTAAGGAAGACTATATAACTGTCATTTTCTGGGGGCTGTCATTGGTTAATCAGCTGTCTCGTCAGCGGTACTCACCTAACCAATGGCATGGTGTTCCACCCTTATTTTCAACCTATCATCGTTCTGCTCCCCTTTTAAATATGATTCTTTCTCTCCCTTAGTCCCTTCATGTTGAAGTTTCGTGCGCCCCTCCACCTCCCCAACACCGCCATCTCGCAGAATCCTTATCCATCATTTCTTATCCCATCTGGTCTCATCAAGTCATCAACTTCACCACCACCAGTGTCTGGACTCCATGGGGGGGGATCTATTCTGCCGTTGCTAAGAATTGTCATTCCACATATCGCCCACCCCATAGAGTCCAAGCGCCAAAATGATTTCTGTCAAGAAACATTTCCATATTTCACTGTAATAAATAATTGTCTTTAATCAATTGTCTCTCCTGATTGAACTGTCTTTACCAGTTCTGAGTTTATGAATCCAGCCTGTGGCTATTTTTCACACTTTGTTTCTGCTCATATATATTTTCTGATCCACATGCTCCCTTTATTTCATTTTCCCTTCCTCCATTGTTCTCTCCTGTCTGTGTTACTTGTCAGGTGTGCACATACCTATGAGCCCTGTGTAGGCGAGGAGACAGGCTCCATGGTCTTTGCGGCTGCAGCCGTTGGCAGATGTTTCAGACGGTTCACAGTCGTACTGAAACTGAGCGAGACGAGACCTGAGAAACAGCAGTTAGTAAAGTAGTTAGCTCATTCTTTTGGATCTCTCCTCTCTGATGTAAGTTTTCCTTTAATTAAGAGTTTCCCCCTCAGACATGGAGATCTATCGCTGCCCGTGGTGAGGACTGGACGCATTGGACTGTAATGTGAAAGTGATAGTCATATATTTCATCCCTCAGACCTGGGATCATTAAGAATGCCCTCAGAGTGTAATGGAGCTGTGAAAAATAATGACCAGAGGTAGCTCTGATCCGTTGGCTTCTTTATCTGAGCTCAGTATTTCATGTGTTATTCCAACAGGCTCTGTGGGGTCTTCTAACCAGATGTGGTGGGAAACTTCAGGGTAACACAGCAAGCCAATCCATTGATTGGATGACCATATATCCATAGGACATAATAATACATTTAATTTATAACAAAGAACAACTTGGGAGCACGGTATGTGAGCTGAGTTTACACAAAGAGACTCAGCTAACCTGGGAGTGATGCAGATATGGTCTACTTTAAGAAAGAGGGGTCATTAAACCTGGACTTCATAACAATATGTTAGTGTGTGCATAAGAGACCAAATGTATGAGCAGTAACTTTCATATGTCTTACCTGCACACATAGTCAGCATTGCAGATCCCCATCTGTGTGATGCAGTTTGGTTTGTCTCCGCTTTCATAAGAGCAGCTGGGTACAATCGTCTGCCGGCGACGCTCTGCACACGCCGTGTCTGTACACGGGCAGAAGAGCAGTTCATGTGTGTAATCGGCGGGGACGCGGTCAAAGAACCTGCGCAGCGCTTTGTTGCATTTAGGCCGGTTGCAAAGCCCCGACTTGGCGGTGGGTTTGATGCAGGCCGAGACGTACTCTGTGCGGAGCTTTTGGCACAAATCGTCCACATTGCAGGCCTTCGCTGCATCCAGGCAGCGGTTCACTGTCGTCATGCCAACTTTAGACTCTGTGGGAGGAAGGGGGGGGGGGCAGAGAAAAGCAAGATGTTAGTGATACAGAGTGAACAGGTATTAGTGATACAGAGTGAACCAATATTAGTGATAGAGTGAACAGATATTAGTGAAACATTAGTGACCAGATATTAGTGATATATGGTGAAGAGATATTTGTGATACCGAGTGAACAGATATTAGTGACAGAGTGAACAGATATTAGTGATAAAGAGTGAACAGACATTAGTGATACAGAGTGAACAGATATTAGTGATACAGAGTGAACAGACATTAGTGATACAGAGTGAACAGATATTAGTGATACATTATTGAACAGATATAAGTGATAAAGAGTGAACAAATATTAGTGATACCGGACGAACATATATTAGTGATACAGGGTGAACCGATATTAGTGATAAATAGTGAACAGATATTAGTGATATATAGTGAACAGATATTAGTGACACAGAGTGAACAGATATTAGTGATAAATTAGTGAACAGATATTAGTGATACAGAGTGAACAGATATTGGTGATACATTAGTGAACAGATATCAGTGACACATAGTTAACAGATATTAGTGATACATAGTGAACAGATATTAGTGATACATTAGTGAACATATATTAGTGATATAGAGTGAACAGATAATAGTGACACAGTGTGAACAGATATTAGTGATACATTAGTGAACAGATAAAAGTTATGAAGAGTGAATTGATATTTGTGATACAGAGTGAACAGATATTAGTGATATATTAGTGAACAGATATTAGTGATACAGGGTGAAGAGATATTAGTAATACAGAGTGAACAGATACAGAGTGAACAGATATTAGTGATGCAGAGTGAACAGATATTAGTCATATATGGTGAAGAGATATTCGTGATACATAGTGAACAGATATTAGTGATGCAGAGTGAACAGATATTAGTGATATATAGTGAACAGATATTAGTGATGCAGAGTGAACAGATATTAGTGATATATGGTGAAGACATATTAGTGATGCAGAGTGAACAGATATTAGTGATATATGGTGAAGAGATATTAGTGATACAGAGTGAACAGATATTAGTGATACATAGTGAACAGATATTAGTGATACAGAGTGAACAGATATTAGTGATATATGGTGAACAGATATTAGTGAAACTTTAGTGAAGTGACTAATATCTGTTCAGTCTTTATGAACAGATATTGTATCTTTCATCACAAGAAGTACACTGAATTGAAAGTCAATATCCATATCCTTTACACTTACACATACATTTCTACAAACAACCAAACAGTGAGCATACTGAATATATAGGTTTATATATATTTAGTATGCTCACTTTTTCAGCAGCAGAAACAAAAAGCACCCCAAATGACAGATGCTGATTTGGCCGTGATTACATTTGTCATTTTTACTCAACTAATAAAAAACATGTACAATACTCACTGGATTAAAACCACAGATGTCCTCCTCAGTTATTTCAAATTATCAGAGGTCCCCAGGTTATACTAATCCTGTGTGAAGAGGTCTTAAGTCCAGACAAAGGAGTCTTCGAATAATTTTTAAAGAAATCCTTGAAGCTGGAGTTCTGTTTTGATGAAAGGGCCTACTTGTATAAGCGTGTTTGGGGACCTCTGCTGGTTCTGGTCTTGTATTTCTGGCAGAACAAAACCTGTTCAGAGGGTGAAATCTAATGAAGGTCAGGGAACTTACCAGCTGCTATAGAGGCCAAGCGGACGTAGTCGTACTCCCTGTGTACAGGCTCATAGGGAAAACTCTCCACCAGGTTCAGTCCTGAGAATAAAACATCCCAGTTCATGAGTCTACGTATTTATAGGATCTACCTTTATTAGTCTGAACAAGCTCTGCTTCTTGAGCTACATGCATTAATAAAACAAAGATGGGACTGATGAATATTATGAAAATGAAAGCTGACCGTGCATGATGGACTGATGAAGGCTCCAGTAGATGCTGAGGCAGTTCTTTTCTTTCTTCATGCCTCGTTTGCACTGGCAGCCTTGTAAGGGGCTGGACAGCAGGGCTGACACTGCATTGGCACACTGACTCCTGGCACCAGGACCCAGCTTCACGCTGCCATTACCCGCCACACACTGCCGCAAAGTCCGCAGACGTGGACTGCAAGTCTCATTACCCGAGCATGAGTCTCCGGCCAGCAAGCAGTCTCTACCGGCCTGGATCACCTCTAACAGAGCTGTGAGAGATCCAATGAGAACAGAGAAGAGACGGATGAGGGGACGGAGCATGTTTGATGAGAACACACCAGAGACACTTTGTGTGATTGACTGTGTGCAGCAGTCTATGATCAATACAGTTACAGTACCACTCAGTCTTAAAGGAAACCATCAGCAGGATCTGTTCTTACTGATATATAAACCTACAGACGAACATAATGCAAAGTCTTTGGTTTGTGGAAACATGAAGAGATGCTCAAAGTAGTTTGTTTGTCTTTGTTACAGTCCAGTTTCTATTAAATACATAAAAATGTTTTTATTAATCCACTGTCAAAGTGACATTGATAATGAGCTGCTGTACTGAATAAAGGCTTTCCTAATCTGTCTTCTTATGACTGGATCTCAGATATGCTGATATTCACTACTACCGCTTAATCAACCAACATCTACTCGATGTTTCTAAAACGTTTACTGGTGTTAGCCGCCATGCTATGGACCATCTTTGCAGGTATTCCTGGTCCAAATGAGGACTCCTGACTTTGGTTGATCCCTGACTATTCATCGATGACATTTCTTTGATTTGATTTGTTTTGTCACATTAACCCTTTAAGACTGATCGTCACTCCGTTCAGATAATTAGAGGAGAACTTTCTTTGTTGTGACTAAATCTCTCACATCTCGCCCTGACTCCAGAAGAACCCCTAACCCCAACCTAACCCTAATGGCCTGAATGCTGACTCGTTCATATATTTTTCTTCTTATGACACATTGTAAGTGAGTAATGTGTTCATATATTGAGTTGTCTCTGATAGACTCTGATGGACTTTGATGGACTCTGACGGACTCTGACAGACTCTGATGGACTCTGATATGACTGTGATGGACTCTGTTGGACTCTGATGGACTCTGAGGGACTCTGACGGACTCTGACGGATTCTGATGAACTCTGACGGACTCTGACGGACTCTGACAGCACAATGTGTACTTATTTTTATTGTGAAAGAATGGAAAAGGTTCAGACTCATGTTAAGAAGAACCTGATCCTGCTTTTCTGTAGCGGAAACCCAGACTCATGTTGAACAGACAGAAACCTGGATCAGAACCAGACTCATGTAGAAAGGCAGAAACCTGGATCAGAACCAAACTCATGATGAACAGACAGAAACCTGGATCAGAACCAGACTCATGTAGAACAGGCAGAAACCTGGATCAGAACCAGACTCATGTAGAACAGGCAGAAACCTGGATCAGAAAATGGTGAAATCAACAGCAAAGTGAGTTTGTGCACAGATGTGACGTCTTTCATCTGAGTCTGAGAAATATAAATAAAATCTCTCTGTGTAAAAGTATTCTGATGTTAGCACGAGCTAAAGCTAACACACGCTCCATATTGAGAGGTGAGTGACTGATCCAGAGATAGCCTCATTAGGAAAATGGAAATGACAGGTAGAACACCTTATGACAGAATATCCCCCCCCCCCCAGATTACAGGACCAAACAGTCAGATGATGTATCAGGGACCAAACGAAGATGTTCATTAACGATCTTACACCTCATTCATCAGATTGTCACTGATCGATCGTTTTCAGTCATATTAACAGAAAGTATTCTGCAGCTGCTCTCAGTGTCCTGAACAGATTTCTGCTTCAGCAGCTGACTTTAATAAAAACATATTTTCTTGTGTAACGGACATTTTATCGACCTGTCATGCAGCAATAGCTTTTACATAACCCTGATTTTACACGTCAGTATGTTTGAAGTGTAGAAATTAAGCAGCGTAACATTTCCTTTTGTCATGGAGCTCAACATCCAATAAAGACTTTGTGGAGTTAGGTGGAGGTGGAGGTGGTGGATTGTTAAAAAAAAACCTGCCACTCATCCTTTCAGTTGTCGTTCGGGTGAACCACCTGTGGTGTTATTGTACTGCTGCCAGAGAGCCGTATCCTGAGCAGCCATCAGGGCTGGTTTCATGCAGCATGTTGTTCACAATGTTTGTGCCCATTGAAGTGTTGCTGTGGCTCCACAGGATTCCTTTCTCTCCAATATGAAACATGTTTGGTTTAAGGACTGTGCTCACAGGTTATTCAGATGTATTCCTGAGCATGACTAGACCAATTAGACGACACGGTGCATTCATACCACCTCTACATTTTTCAATTTCATGCTTCTTTAATCTGCAGACACTTCAGATATCTCAGCTTCTGTTCTGATCTCTAAATCACACCGACACACTCTCCCTTAAGGAGAAGAGAAAAAATACTTTTGACTTTCTGTCAACACGATTTAATCCATTAAACGAGGCTGGATCTGAGTTCAGAGCGTTCAGCTGAAGAGCGCCTTGCTCACATCAGGAGTTATCCACACGCTCATACACTATTCAGCACACGTCAGCTAAGTGCACCCAAAACAGAAATGTGGATACAAAGAGACATCAAAACCAACGCCAACGCCCTGGAAGGCCAGATGGTCAGTTGTAAATTGACGGCAGAGATCCCGGGCCTTTCCTGCTATGTGTGTGTCACATTGTGCTGCCTGGACAAGAGCTGGAAGAGACTCCATACATCATGAATGCAAATGAGCTGTTTGATTGGACATTTCCAATGAGTCTGTCTCAATGAACCAGTGGGCTCAGCCAATTAACCATGTCAGTAATCAATGTGTTTGCAGGCTCAGTGAAGTCCTCAGGTTCCTGCCACATAAATCACCAGCTGATTGGCTGATCAGTTAAGCTCGCGCTCCGACTTAATGGTCCACTTCAGGAGAGATCAAATGGAAAATCAAACTTAATGAAGCTGTAATGTTTGTGTGTCTTCAGCCCAGTGAGGCGGGCGGTAGATGTGTCAGTGCACTTCATGTGTATTTTCGTTTCAGTGCTCTTTACATTTGTAAATGATCTTCATAGTTTTAATGTTTACTGCCAAACATCGGCTGTTTGGCAATGTCCAATGTCTCTGCAGAGCCTTCTGAAGACTTTTTGATGTCTCTCCTTAAAAACCTGGGACATGAGACAGAAAAACATCCATCTGCATTCATAAAAAAAGAAAAGTGAGCTCCGCAGCCACACTCCATGGAAGACGTCAAAACACAAGTGTGGAGACCCAACTGTTGATTTAGCTTCAAAGATGCCATGTCGCAGACACTGAAGCTTCAGTGTTTAGCCGCATCCATGATGTGACACCTGCCATCCAATCACAGCCCCCCTCATCAGACATACCTACAGAATCAAAAGTGCTAAATACCACTGAACTAAAAATTGTTCATGGAAGGTGTTGTTCCATTGATTTGTGGATAAAAACCAAGATAAGACTAAAAGAGAAATGATGATGTTTCTAATGTTTACGCAGACGTTTAATGGAGATGTCTGCAGCCCAGCTCATGTCAGAGCGTTTGAGTTACAAAACTGAGTAGTAGAATCAGTTCTCTTCTCTAAAAGTATGATTTAAATCAACTCAATCAATGGAACGTGCTTCAGACTGGCACACATCTCCTGAATGAGACAAACATTTGGTGGCTGGATGTTTTAAGCAGGAAGGTGTGACTGGATGGTGCTCAAATACTGAAACAAGTAGAACAACAGTTTCTGTGCACTCAGAGGAATGTTAGAGGAACAGTGGCAGCGCTGCTTTAACAAAGTGATTAAGTGTCAACCTCCTCTCGGGTCTGATGTTGTGGCAAGGCCATAATACCTGCCAGCTGTGGCTGTCACTCAAGAGTCATTACAGGAGGGGGGCGGGCCAAACATTCCAATACATTGACTGACAGGCACTTTCCCTGATGGGGTTGTTCTGCCTCTCCCTCCATGCCCCAGTCTGGTGTCAGCAAAGACATGAATCTTCAGAGCCGCCTTTTCAGCTGATTGCCTTTGTTGTCATTTCCTTTGCTTGTTTTCTAAGGCAATAAATCAGGGGGCTTTTTACCATGTTTTTTAATTTTATGGATCCAGATGCACACTACACTGGTGATGTGAAACGGCTGTCTGTTCTAGCTGTAGATTACTTCAATGTGTCGCATAGCCTCAATGAAGCGTCAATGAACGGTTGGCTGATATCTCAGAAGCCCTGAACAAAAACTCTGTTTTCCTCCTGTGGTAACGAGTCGATTCTGCTTGTTTTCTCCAGATCTCGACCTATATGACCTCAGAGGTGCAGAAACACAAACAGAAACTAGTTTAACTGATCTCACTAGTGTGGCCAATGGCAGAATGGCATGTAGTTGCCTGGCCTATAACAGTGACTACTCTCTGTTTTCTAGATCACCAGTAAATCATGTTGTTATTATAAGCTTTGTTATCTGGAGATAATTCATCCATTATGATGAGAACACAAGCTTTGTTATCTGGAGAAAACAAATGAAATGAATCATCAAAAACAGATATCTGAAGAGAACTTGAGACGACCAGAATGTACCCGTTTAGTGAAAGCTGTCAGGACTTTGTTTGGTCTGCAGGACGATTGGACTAAGGTTTAGTTACAGGTACAGATACCTGCATGATAACTGCAGACTGAACTGTCTTCACATCTACAAGCACTTCTTAAACTCTCCATGTTTATCTGACACCATGATGATAACAACATGTGGTCCATTCTGTGGGGGAGACCCGGTTACAAGTCCAGGCATCAACATCGGTTTTGGAAGGATTTGATTTTGTGTCTCTGTTTGCCTCAGATATCTTTAAGTGGCATCTGAAACCACGCCATTAAAAGAACGTCGTACAGCTCGTTCTAATGGGTAAACTTCTGCTCCTAGCGAGGAGATGTATTCTGTTTCAGTGGATTCAGGAGAAGCCTCCATCAGTTACGCAGTGGTACAGAGAAACATTTAAGGTTCTTCCTATGGAACACCTCAGTGCTAAATTAAAGGGCAATAACAACTTATTTTATAATATTTGGCAACCCTTCATAGATTATCTTCCCACTGATCTGGTTGGCTTATTGCAGAAAGGGTGCCCACACTTTATCTTCAAAAATACATCATAGTCATGTTTTTTCCCTTTGACATGTAATTTAGGTAGATAAGATTG